CACCGGCCTGCTTGCCCCCAACTGCCCTCCCCTCCTGGCCTGATTGCCCCTAACCGCCTCTGCCTCAGCCCCGCCACCATGGCTTTGTCTGGAAGGACATCCGGAAGGTCTCCTGGAAGCTCTCCCAGTCTAATTAGCATATTACCCTTTTATTAGTATAGATTATTATTAGAGGAATTAGATTAGAATGCTAGGCATTTCAAGCTATTGGAGTAGAGCCAAGGAGAAGGACTATTATAAAAGTTACGGAAAAAGAACCCACTGAATGGATGAACATATTTGCCATTGATACCTCTGATAAGGGGTAAATACCCAAATTTATAAAGAACTTATAAAGCTCAACACCAAAAAACCCAAACAATCCAATTTAAAAATGGGCAAAATACGTGAATAAACACTTCTCCAATGAAGACATACAGATGGCCAATAGGCATATGAAAAGATGTTCAACATCACTAATCATCAGAGAGATGCAAATTAAAACTACAATGAGATATCACCTCACACCTGTTAGAATGGCTATCATTAATAAATCAACAAACAACAAATGTTGACCAGGATGTGAGGATGTGGAGAAAAGGGAACCCTTGTGCACTGTTAGTGGGAATGCAAACTGGTGCTGTGAACAGTATGAGTTTCCTTAAAAAATTAAAAATGGAACTGCCTTTTGACTCAGTGTTCCCACTGCTGGGAATATATCCTAAGAATCCTGCAACAACAATCAGAAAAAATATATGCACCCCTATGTTCATTGCAGCATTATTTACAATAGCCAAGATTTGGAAGCAGCCCAAGTGTCCTTGAGTAGATGAGTGGATAAAAAAGCTATGGTACATTTACACAATGGAATACTACTCTGTCGTAAAAAGGAAGAAAATTTTAATCTTTGCAACAGCATGGATGGATCTGGACAACTTTATGCTAAGTGAAATAAGGCAGTCAGAGAAAGACAAGTACTGTATGATTTCACTCATATGTGGAATCTAATGAACAAACTGGACTACCAAGCAAAATAGAGACAAACTCACAGATAGAGAGCAGGCAGACAGCTCTGGTGTGTGAGGAGGTGCTGGGCGGAGGGGAGGGGAGGGGATGTGGAGAGGGAGGTGGAGGGATTGAACAAAAAAGAAGGAGAGAGAACTCATGGACATGGACTACAGTGTAGTGAATGGGGTGGAGGGAGTGGAGGTGGAAGAGGGCATAGAGGGGATAAAAGGTGGTGAAAAAATAAAATAAAAATAAACAATTATAAATAACCCCCCAAAACGGTATGGAGGGCCGTAAAATAAAAATAAACAATTATAAATAACCCCCCAAAAAGGGCCATTGCTTCTTTGTGGCTGTGAATGTGTAGGGCAAGTATCTGGTGGTGGGCCTGTGGTTGCTGTTGCTCAGAAGATGGGCAGTTGGGAGGAGGAGCTGGATATGGAACAGGGAAGAGGATGCAGAGCAGGGAAGAAACAGAGTGAGGACGAACTTGAAGCCTCTAGCACAGAGGTTGTATTAAAAAGAAGGCATGACATAGTGTTCTAGGAAATGAATTGCGGAAATGTAGGATTGTTTGCCGGGACAGATGGCCCTTGAAGTTAGTGGTCATGAGTTTAAAGTATTACCAGGTAGCATGGTGAATTTTTCTCTAGTTACAGGCTTCAGGTTAAGGCATGGAATGGTTAGGGTTGGGATTTTGCCAAGTTAGTAAAGAGAGAGAGGTGCAAAAAAGTTGAGTAATTGAAGTATTGACTATGGAATCTGTGTTTTGTTAGGAGGCAAGTAAGAACTGGGGCTGATTGAAATAGTAAAACGTTGATAGGATCAGGATGTAGGTCCTGATGGAATGAAAAGAGTTGTTGAAGTCAGGAGTGGTGATTGGAGAGTGAAATACTTGGAAATGAAATTATGAAAGGGATAACCTTATTGATAAAGTCTATGACAATAGAAGTGGGTGATGGCAATAGGAAGAAGGACAGGATCATTGGAGAAGAAGAGATCAATTCCGAAGAGTGAGCAGAGTTTTAATATTGTCTGTATTGGTATTAAATTCATCAATAATTATTAGTGGGGTAATATTGGAGATAGTGATAGTGAACAAGGTAATAATATTTTTTCAATGTAAGGGAAGTAACCAGCATCTATATATGCAACCAGGAATGGTGGGAGGTGATAAAGTCCAATGGCATAAGATTTGAAGCCAGAGCTTTTAAGGGGAAGGATTTACAGTGAAAGAAGGCAATACAGTAATTTTGAAAAGGCAGTGAGGATCGACTTGGACAGCTTCCCCACCCCTAGGTGTGGTGGATGAGGGTTATAGGAGAGAAAACTACCATTTGAGAGGGCTGCAGGGGAATCTCAGGGGAGAGCCAGGTTTTAGAGAAAAGATGGGACGCTTCAGAGAAGAGTTAGGATGGAAGGAATTTTGCTGGAGAACATGGTGGAGGGGTATGGGATTTGTGGAAGAGTAGAAGCTGGACTCAGATCAGGTGCTGTACCCAAATGCATGGTGGTGAGTAATGACCAGGATATGTTAGGGGTTTTTTGGGTAGTGACTGAGGTACATAATCATGAATAGCACAATGTGATTCATTCAGATGGTCCCTTAGGCAGAATATGGAATTGAGAGCATGACTTATTGGGGGGAAGGAGAGTTGAGGATTTTGCCAGGAGCACGTGGGGCGCCTTCCTTTCCCAGAGGCTAATTACTATCTTGAGAGTAGTATCCTCCTGTCCATGTGTATATAGATGGATTACATATGGGTGAATCCATAATCTAAACAATATTTTTTTGTGTTTTTGAAAATGATATATAAATAGTATCATCTTCATATTATTTTGCAATTTAAAACATTAATATGTTTTTAGGATCTACCCACTTGCTACATGTACTTCTGCTTTGTTCAGTGTCACTGCTGAATGGAACCCCAGTGTGTGAATGTACACTATTCCTATTTATTTATCCATCTCCCATAGATATTTGAGTTGTTTCCATTTTTTGCTATTACAAATGATGTTACACATAATGTTTACGTACATGTCTTCTTGTGTACACAGTGAGAATTTTTTCTGGGGGAGATAGTCTACAAGTAG